AACAATCTCACAGCGACTCTTGAGTGGCATGCAAGATTAGAGCAGGCATACAATTTGAACCAAAGGTATTAACACAGAGATGGATATAGGTCGTTCTTGGTTTACAATAGTTCATTTAGTGACCACTCGAAGTTACAGTGGCACTGAAAAAGGTGGCTTATGACCATTTTCCACACGACCCATGTAGCATCTCCATGGTCACATAATCAAAATTCGGCCGCTTGGCAACTCATATATATGATGTCCTGAGATCACATAATCCCCTTTTGCAGCCTTCTGACAAGTCAAAGAGGAGGCCAGATTCATTTAATACTAGGTTACTAACAACTGCAGTGATTCCCTTAACTGTGGAAAGAAAGGTTCTAAAGTGGGGCAAAATTCACTTAGCTACTTTCTTGCTTAGCAACAGAAATTTTGGGTTCAGTTGTGGTCCTAGGTCAAGGACTAACCGTATTGGCATTTTTGGTTTTCTTCTTCTGGGCTCCCTTGAAAGACTCACATTACCTCTCCATTTATCCTTGTAGGATTTATTTTTCCTTGACCAGAACAAATTCTTACTCATTTGAGTNCCCCCCCCCTTTTAAAGCATGAGCCTTTAGGAGGCTTGTAGAGTGCTCCTGGAGGCTAGGAGGTGGTGCTCATCTCTGTTACAAAGCCAAAGAGCCAACGCTGTCCAAAGATGTTCTCGGTGGTCATGTGGCCGGCATGACTAAACACCAAAGGCCCATGGAACGCTGTTACCTTCCCACCAAAGGTGGTCCCTATTATTTCTACTTGCATTTTTAATGTGATTTTGAACTGCTAGGTTGGCAGAAGCTGGGACAAGTAATGGGAGCTCACTCCGTTAAACGGCGCTAGGGATTCGAACCGCTGAACTGCCAACCTTTCTGATCAACAAGCTCGGTGTCTTAGCCACTGAACCACCACATCCCTCACCGATGATTACACCTGTGAAACAAACATTTTTATTGCCATCTAATTCTGAAGTGTAAGATAGGCTGATGAAGGACTGAAGGGCTACCTACTATCACATTTTGCCAGGGAGTCTGAGGAGAAAAGGGCTGAGGCTTTCAACACTAGTTGCCACCTTCCTGGAGACTCTCAGAAGGTCCCTAGAAGCAAAGGATGTTGGTAGCAGGAAGACTTTTGGGGTCACAGTACCTCATAGGTGATATCCTCTGAATCATCATTATCTGGAAGGTCTTTATTCAGAAGTGTTTCTATCCAGCACTGGGGCTCATCCAGAACAGTATCTTCTTCCTTCTTCCTTTTGATCCCTCTCATAGAAGGGGTGTCAGGCGATTTCTCTGCAAGGGAAGAAGAGAGTGCCGTGGGGATGGAAAACACAGGGGTGATTTCTGCACCCACTGATTATCCCAAAGGAAGGCTGAGGAAAGAACCTACTGAATAAAACAGAAGCATGTCACACTGGGTCAGAAACAATTGGGCACAGACTCTGTTACTCCACCTTTCAGAAGAGTGGGGTCCAGCAGAGGACAAATTGTTGTCTAATCTCCTCTTGAAAACTTCCAGTATTAGAGAACCCACAACTTCTGGAGGCAAATTGTTTCAACTGATTAATTGTACTGGGGGGGGGGATTCCTTATTTCTAGGATGTTTCTCTCCTTGATTACATTCCACCTTTCAGGTGCTTTGGAAAATAGGTTGACCCCCTTCTTCTTTCTGGCAGCCTCTCAAATATTGGAGTATCCTGCCTAGGCAGAAAGAAGGTTGGATGACCTTGGGGCACTCATTTATCTCAGTCTGGAGAAGGAGGCAATGGCAAATCAGTTCCAAAAACATTGCCAAGAACCCCCAAACTCCCATAATTTTAACCTAAGACTCTCTACTGTTGACCTCACCCCTTTCCTAAGAGGTCTGTAAGGGGGTGTGCATAAACACACCAGTGTTCCTACCGCCCCTATCCTACTGTTTCCATGTATTTGTACCCATTTACTGTGTTCATATTTACGTTTATACATATATCTGTTATCTTTTACATGTTTGACAAACTAAATAAATAAATAAAATTGCTAGGCCTACTCCAAGCAGCCACCCATAAAGCAGACGTAAAGTGAGATTTGGACATTAAGTGTGAAACCTACTGGGTCAGGCTGGACAGCCTCTTAGAGCCCCTTTACTTCTATATTAAAGCCACATAGACAGAGTTGGAGCTTGCAAAAGAAACAGGAAGCCAGTGCCTAACCACAAGATGTCAAAAGCCTATGTCAAAAGTCCAAGGTTCAATTAAAGTTAGTTAATGACACGTACTCCCTAAACAAAAGGAGAGGTAAGACCCCATCTCCTTATAAGGCTTTCTCCTCAAGGTAACCACTAAGAAATGTGTTAAGAATTTCCGTGTTGCAATGCTTTTGAGAATGTATAAGAATGTGTGCGTCGATAATGAAGGTTGTTCAGAACTTGCAATGCTAAGCCATGGGCTAGCTTTCTGAACCTGGCTGCCAAATAAACTTTTCCTGTATCCTGAGAAGTCTAAAGCCTGTCATTTTCTGCAACACCAGGAGTGTGTACCTTCAAAGGAGGGGAGAAAAAACAAGCTGTTTATGTAGTGTTGCGGACTATCCCAGCCTAATATACTGTATTTTTGGGATTGTAAAATACACCTCCCCCCCCCCCCACAAAAGGGTGAAAATCTGGATGAGTCTTATACACTGAATACAGCATTTTTGGCCTACCAAAACCCCTTTGGCCCCTTGGCAAAAAAGGACATGCAGAGGGTTTGGGAGGCTTGCAAAGTGCTTCTGAGGGCTGGGGAGGGGGAAAACCAGCAAAGAATGAGCCGTTTTTTGCTCGTTTTTGCCCCCCCCAGCTCCTAGAACACTCTAGAAACCTCCTAAAGCTTTGCATGCCCCCCCCTTTTTAAAAAAAAAAATGAGGCGTGCAGTGGGTTTGGGAAGCCTGCAGAGTGCAAAAACCTTTTTATTTACCTCTTCAAAATCATGGGGAGTCTTATACTCCGGTGCATCTTATAGTCCAAAAAATATGGTACCTTACAAAATATACCTTACTGTGTTTCTCTGAAAATAAGAACTAACCAGAAAATAAGCCCCTAGCATGATTTTAGCCGCCTGGAGTCCTTCGGGAATGGGCGGCATACAAACCTAATAAACAACAGCAATCTTTTCAGGATGCTCCTAATATAAGCACTGCCCTAAAAACAGGCCCCAGTTAAGATCATCAGCCAGAAATATTTAGTACTGTATTCCCCCCTCCCCAAATAAGATCTAATGCGTCTTTTGGAGCAAAAATTAATATAAAACTTGATCCTATTTTTGGGGAAACATGGTATTAGTTATACTTTTTAACATTTCCAGAGTTTGGAAAAACAAGAAGGGGGGAAAAAAACTTCATCCCATTCCCCCTACTGGTTTTTCCCTGACTTACCTTCAATTTCAATGCCCTGGCACATGCTATGTAAAAAGCCAAGGGCCAACTGAAGTCGGATTGGGATGATGGCGAAGAGGATCTGAGCCACTGTCCCCAGGCGCTTAATGGCAGGCTGGCGCTTGTCGCCATCACGAGGTTTCACTATAAACAGGCAACGAAGCCAGGAACATCCCCTGTGTAGCCACTGTAGCTGGAACAGTAAAGAAGGAAACATGTGTGTGAATATACACCAGTCCTCCTCCCTAGGTGACCACAAGAAGTAACACAAAATTAGGCCAAGGGGGAATTTATGATCCCAGAACCCTCCTTGGTTCAAGCAAGTATATTCTGCACATTCTCCAAGCCAGTTTTTCCATGGCTCATCTTGAGCATTGAATCACAGCTGTGGTGTCTGAATAAGCAAGATGACATTTTGTCAACCTTAATTCCGATGGTCCTGTGAAGGAGTGTAGCCTGAATAAGCAGGGTTTGATGTGTGAATGCAGCTTTGGTGATTTGCAAAATATTTACGAGGACATCTTTAGGAAGTACCCTTAGGTCTAGGAAGTTTACAAAGGGACAGCAACAGTTCCTCTGTGAAACCCATTAATCTGGCACTCAGAGATCAATGGCTGTGTTCAAACCCTGCTTATTCAGGCTGCACTAAATAAACCTTGTTGCCTGACTTCACAGCAGGCTAGATCAACACATTTTACAAGCCGCAGAAGCTGTGTTCACAAATCATCACCCAGCAAAGCAATGTTATCATTTAGCAAAATGTGCAAGGCGAAACAATTCATCCTTTTGTCTAATGTGTTAAAAACAAACAAAACACCAAGCTATTTCTTCCAGCAGCTGTCCTGCATCTGCAAGGAACAGAGATATAAATGAAAATATCTTGAGAAACCTTCTGTAGGAAGTTATCACCCAGCCCTTTCCCAGAAAAGTGAAATATCCCAGGAAATATTGAAAAGGCAGAATATTTCTCTGGATG